CTCTGACCAATCAGCAGTCTGTTGTGTTTTCACGATACATTTTTGTATCCCTCAGCTCTCTTGGAACCTCGACGGAGGTGAGGTGATACGAAAAAAAGTACCTGGAAGCAGGTACAGGTACAACATTTCTACAATGGAAAATAAAACAAAGGCGAGTCGAGCCAAGGGGCCTCCGCTCAGACTAGCTTGGTTTGAGGGCGTGCCTGACCCTGCAAGCCGCTTGGCAAGCTTTATGACGCGTTTTCATTGTGACGTCACAAGTAAAGGAAGTGAAGGGCTGGACTACAAATGACCTGTTTTCAAGCAGTTCAGAGCAGAGTTTTCTGTGGGAGAGGGGAACTCCCTTTGGACTGGACTTTGGACTTTTTCACTTTGCAAACCTGTTACATGCAAAAGGAGAGGGAAAAGCCAAAAAGCATAATACCACCTCTTTAATATTTATCCGAAAACTGCTGCAAAAGTAGTTGCTGCTGGTGTCTGTCCCACCTGAAACCATTCAAAGTGGTTGACAGCACAGATTGTTTGGAACAACTGAGAGCTGCATGGAGCATGTGACCGCGTGGCGACGAGATCAGAGAGTGTCGTAACTCTCTTATTTAACGGCTCTGGTTGCAACCAACCCACAGGGATCCTTTTTTGTGTCGCTGCGGTCTCCATGTGATTATGTAACAAATGGAGTTTGAAATTGCCGTTTTGGGAAGTATGGTCAAGCGCCACCGGTATGGTTGCGTTAATTTAGGATCCGCAGAAAACGTGATTCCCCTAAATGTCCTCTGCCTGGAGATACTGGGGAATTGCAAAAGCGTCTATAGGTTGAAGGATGTGGATCAAACACTGAAACAAAAACATTCGCTGCAGAATCCATTTGTTGAAGAGAGAAAAAAAAAGTTATCTCAAAGAGGGACTGAACCCTTGGATTGTGAGTCCTGCAAGGCGCAGGACTGAGTTAACTGGCGGAGAACTGAGTTAACTGAACAACATGTTGTAGCAAATCACTATTATGGCTCATATTCTAATTCACAATCTAATAGTTAAAAATATTGCTCTGATGCAAAACTTATTTGCAAACTCCTGTAGTGTATTATTAGTACTTCTTCTTCTTCTAACGTACATATTCAACATAGTGATGAGTGTCTGCACTGCCCCTAGAACAAGAACAACTTAGTGCTGTTTGTCCGTATTCAGCTACTGTGGAAACATGACGATGCAACATGGCAACGTCTATATTTATAGATATAAATGGCTCATTCTAAGGTAATAAAAACATAAACATGGTTTATTATGTAAGGTCTTTACATACCACTGAAAACATAGTTATGGATCTTTTATTGCATTTTGGAAATATGGTGCCACTTTACCCTGGCTACTTTGACTACATCAAAAAGAACATTAACTCTCTGGTTAGTACCTGTTGTTGGGCCATATGAAGAGCGACATGCCCTCCGTCCTTACTCGCCTTGCCTGTTTGGGGGAGTAAACGACAGCAACCTTCAACCGCTGGGCCGACTCGATTTCGCCGACTAGATGTGCCTTGATCAACGTCTGTCATTAACAAGACATTCATCCTCAAGGATTTCTTCACCTCACATGCTGTGGATATACTCCTGTTGAGGGAAACCTGGATAAGTACTGGTGAGTCCGATGCCCTAAAAGAGCTTTCACCTCCAAACTGTACATTCTTTAACTCTCCTACGACTACTGGACATAGAGGGGGAATAGTGACAGCTGCATCGACGCAAATTCTTTGCATCGCTGTGAACACGGCGTGATTATAATGGCGCTGTTTGCAAAGTGGAGGAAGAGAGAGAAAATAGCGAGGGACAAAGAAGAAAGTGTCCAAAGTATGGGATTTTTTCAAGCTAAAGAAAACAACTCTGTAATGTTACAGTCCAGCTCATGTAGTGTGTGTGACCCCCTGTCACAATCAGTCACGTAGTGTGAACGCCACAACAAGCAACATCAAGACTCCCGCCACATGACAGCAAGTTGTGTAGTGTGAACAGCACGGCCATTGGCCGACGCTGAAAGTCGTGTAGTCTGCCGGAGCCTTTAGTATAACTTGTACAGCACTCGGGTGATGTTTGTGTTTGTAAAGCAGCTGTCTGGTTGTTGGTCTGATGTTTGCTGGATGACACATTATGAATTTCCAAAAGGCTGCAGCCCTAAACACAACAAAAGGAATTTGCACACATTTTTCATTCCAGAGTGCTATACAGTACAACACACCAAACAACAAATTATTCTGCCCCAGGTCCTGTCTTTGGTCCGGGCCAGAGATTCTTGTTCCTCCCTCTACCTCATCCACCTTCTTCTTCACCTCCTCCATCCTACTCCTGCTCTGCCTCCTCCTACTCCTCATCTTCCTCCTATTCCATCTCCTCCTCCAACTCCTACTGTTCCTCCTGCTTCAACTCTTCCTCCTTTCCATACTGTACTATACTAGATAGATAGATAGAGGGTTCCTATGAAAAACCTGGAAAAGTTATGGAATTTGAAAATATGTTTCCAGACCTGGAAAAGTATTCTGAAAGAAATAAAATCCCAAAAGTTTTGAAAAAGTCATGGAAATTAGTTTCATTAACACTTCACATCAGGGATGTCATTTGTTTTCAGATTTTTCCAGATTCTCCGGCCTAATCTATATGTATCTATATGATCTATATGATGAACATGTGACCCACGTGCATTATATAGATCCGTAAAATTATATAGGTCGTGTTAGCTGCTTTGTCCTCTCCGCATGTTTGACCGGGGGCGGAGCTCAGCTCACACACAGCTGACAGCAGAGAGGCTGCGGTGGAGGCAGTGAAGCAGGTGAAGTGAAGGGTAAAAGTAGAAAAGCGTTGTTTCTACCTGCTTTGTCCGTCGTCATTACTACAACTTCTTAAGCTGATAGCAAATTGTTACGAACAAGCTAAAACAAAATGTACCATTTATTAATTTTTATATAGCGCATGCCCATACATAACAGAAGATATATAATTGCACTTTGAATATAGAGCAGCTCTAAACCGAACACTTTATAACATTACTGTCAGGTCGCCCGCTTGTGCATCTGCTTACAATGTTACAAAAACAGTGACAGAGATGATCATCTGCAGCTGAAACAGATAATATTGATCCGATAAGGAAGGTTTGGATTTGGCTAGCTGGCCATTTAGCTATATCAGATGCCTTTTGTTGAACACTTTTTATAAAGTCAGTATGCTCCTCAATGTCACTTCATCACCAGACCAAAGCCTGGGACTAAATAATATAAATGTTTGACGTGCTACAGCAAACTTTTAACGTGGAAATCATTGTTCTGCATTGATTATGATTATTGACAAGTTACAACTTAACATTAACATGTTAGAGACCATTATCTTGCACAAGGAAAACCCACAAAAAACTGCACTAGTGTAAAGATTTATAGTATATTATTATATGAAATGGTTATGAATATATTAACATTATAGATTTAATATATTAACATTATACTAACAGCATACTGTTAACTTAACTTTTTATTTATTGTTATAATATTATACTAATACTGATTTATACTAGTTTCTCCTCCAGGTTGTGGACAGATGTAGATTTAGCCAGAGCCAGGATCCATCGAAACATGATGTCTAAAACTATGTGGATATGCAGTTTTTATTCAAATAACTATAATATTCTTGGGAGAGAACCCACAGCACCGCGCCATGTGCACTTGTGTTGTTTATTTTCCTGCTTTTTGTCCTATGCCAATCACATGTCTGACTAATGCTAGTAAACACTTATGACATCTATTGATTAGTCGTTAGCATATAAAATAGGTGAAGGCTCTGGTGAGACTTCGACACTCCCACATGTGTTTATTTTACATCAGTTGCCTGAGGTAGTTGGTTTGGCTCGCAACTGGCTTGCATCATTAACTATCTAGAAAATACAAACTGCTAGAGAAATGTAGATTTAATAATTCAGGCAAGGACACTACTAAAAAGTTAATCTCTCTTCTCTGTTACCAAGCAAACAATGATGACAGATGCTGTATAGAACGAAATAGCCTATTAACTGCAGAGCACACTATGAGCGCTAAAGGTGGCTAATTCACATTATTGTTACACATCATGTGCAGAAACAGGCCTGCTCTTTTTCTTTGTTCAGTGATGAAAATTTGGTTTAAAATCATGAAAAAGTCATGGAAATTCATTTGTCAAAATGTGTATGAACCATGTAGATAGATAGATACTAGGCCAACCTTTAAGGTGAATCTAAGCTAAGAGGGTCAAACAAGCATAACAAGATTAGGCTTTGACAGAAGGATTCTCCTCAACGTGGGTCTGAGATCTACTTACTCTGTTGTTCTCATATGAACTCTGTCCATTGATACATAATGTATTACCACATTTTATGAGGACATGTCATGTCCAAAAAATCCAAATAAAAAGAAAATGTCAAGATAGAAATGAAGGATTTACATTTATGTGGGAATGCGACAATTATTCTTCAGGTATATAGAGTATAGCAGTATTCATAGTATCAGCATTGTAAAGCATTATGTAACTACACTCAGTGGACACGTTACCAGGTACACCTGTACAATCTAAATCATTGTTTTTGTGACATTGTCAGAAATATGTAAACACATAGCATGTCTGTTGTGTGAACAGTAACTGTATATTATAAGTAACTGTATATTATAGGCATACTCAAAGTAGACTGTGTCAGAACAGTTGTCACATGGCTTGCATTAGACTGTACAGGTGTACCTAAAAAAGTAGCTGCTGAGTGTTACAGTAGTGAGATTAGTTTCTCTATGTCAACCAGGGAGAGGGGATTACAATTTTAAATTCAGTTAATACAGTATGTTTCTGTACAGGATAAGGGCCAGACAGACTATAGATAGAATGTAAATTATAGCATATAGTAGTAAATATTCTACTACAGATTTATTCAGATCATATTGCATACACATTTTAATAGCTGGTAAGCAGAACATGACAATTATTATTTTTATTTAACTTGAATTTATTGATATTAAAACCTGTCTTTGACAAGTAATCAGGTAAAATAATAATACTTTACAGTATAGAATTATTATTTGATTAAAAACAACAACAAAAAATTGTAAACCATTTTTAAAAAATCACTATAGAAAAGCATTATAATAATTTTCTATTTACATATTGACATTTTATAATAGTAAGGCTGTGACTTGAGTTAGCATGCAAAATATTTACAGTATATGCACTTAATCAAGATTTAATAATATTAACTTGTATTTTAGCATTGTTATAGTTTTAATAGTGAAAAGAGAGAATAATGCATACAAAGGAAGAAATAGAAACTAGACATTTTGCTGTGCATTCATACTGTTCAGTAGCCTGGCCTTTTTCGCAAATGTGTACTAGTCTGGAACCTCAACAAGTGCCCTCTGAAAATAACAGGGACACACCTACAACCAATCAGAGCAATGAAATATGTAAAGATACAATTTAAAGCATGGATTTTAGCCATAATTGTTCTACCTTTGTTCTCATGGAAAAGGCAAATGTGCTTTGACATTTCAGAATTGTGCACTCCTTCTCCTCTGATCGAGCACCCATCCAGCAGGGTTCATGTCCAGCTTTAACATGTTCAGCACCCAGGGGTCCTTCTGTGCGCCTCTTATGAATTCTTCCATATTAATTTTACCTGTGTAACAGATAAGTCAAAGCATGGTAATATTCTCTGCTGAGACAACAAATTGTTCCCTTTGTAAATTGTCACTCCAAAGTATTTTTACTGCATTGTAAAAGTGAAATGTGACTAAATGCTTACCATCTCCGTCACTGTCAACAGCCTGTAATATTCGATCCACAACTTCATCTACTGTAAGCCGTGAATCTCTCACATCTGTCTTTGTTCCCTGCTTTATCCGATAGAGACTCTAAATAGAAAAAAGAAAAATACATATTGTATTTTATGTAAATAGCACAGAAAATGTCACATGAACCACCTGCTGCTGCGCAAGTTACAATAACTGACCAAAAATGAAATTCATCAATTGCCACTATTGTAGACTCACATCAATTATTGACCGTAGTTCGTCCCTGTCCACAAAGCCATTGTTGTCTTTGTCATACACCTTGAATGACCAGCGCAGTTTATGCTCCAGGTCTCCCCGGAAAACAAGATTCAGTGCTGCTACAAACTCAAGGAAGTCAATAGTATTGTCCTGAAAGGTAGGTTGAATAAGAATAACTTTGTCAGTATGTGACATTTTTGTAAAGATGTACAATATGTGAAGCTGTAATGGCTTTTACTCTCTTACCCCATTTTTGTCAAAAGCTCGAAACATATTCTCTGCATAGTCAGAGGCTTCTCCTGTTGGGTCGACACCAAAGAAACGCTTGAACTCATGCAGAAAAAGTAGACCACTTGGGCACTCTATTACAAACCTTTTATACATATCCTGAAGTGTTTTGACATCAATCTCCTCATTATTCTCGGTATGCTGTGTCTGCCCCATGGCTGGCTTGAAATTTAACAGTCCATAGTCCTGTAGCCTTTGGGTATATACTCCGCGATGCAGTGGGAAGACTTGAATAAGGCATCTCCTACTATTGGGTGTTTTCTTTATAACCCTGTGGAATCTCTTAGCTCCACTTGTGTAAGAGACAGGTGATTGAAGTGCTCTCAGATTACTATGGGATTAAGTTGTGGGGTTTCCTCTATCTGAGTTAATTAGGTTTGCAGCTAAATGTGGGTCTAAGATAAACTTGTAGGAGTGGCAGGTAAGGTAAAGGTATGCGCTTTCCAATAGTACAGCATACATTATATTATTGTCAGTGCTGACAAAAAAGAGGAAGATCACTAGTTATTCTTTTAAAAGCCCAGTTTGGGGAGGGTTTGAATTAAACGGAGACTTGTATTTGATGTATGTCAGCATAAATGTTACTTGCTTTCAGTGGAATCCAATTACTTTTAACACATATTAGGTCAAATGTTTTTTTTTGTAGAAACTTGGGCAAACATTGATATTGAAAAAACATATCATCTTATCAAGCTTTTACTTTTTTCAAACTTTTATTTCTACTTAGGAAATAAAAGTTCCACACTTACCTACTTTCCTATCCAGCAGAAACAGAGAAACATTAGCATTAATTTGCAGTCATGTTTTAGAACATCTAATGAATGTCCAAACTACACTTTCCTGTTAGCTGTTGTGGTCTCCACCAAATCTAAGAAAAATATTTGTCACTTTAGCGTATAGGTGTTCCATTTTCTTAACCAGCAGGTTTTTAAACGTATTTCTGCAGTTTAGAGCTGGTCAAGTACAATTGGTTTCTCATTTCCCCCTGAAAACAGCCTTGGTCGAGACTATAATAATAATTATTGGATGGATTTCCATGAATCAACATGTAAGCATTATCATTAAGAGCGTATTATCTTTGTTAATGTTAGAATTTAGCTCAAAGCAAAACTGTGCCTACGAGCAAAGCACTAAATCCCTAACTCAGAGTCACTAATAGGCGGACTGCGGTCCGGATCTGGACCCGGCTGCTGTCCCCTCCGGACCGCCAACCTACAGCCAATTTATTATTGAGACTTACTACCTCGTGACGGAGCGTTTCTATTTTAACCCGCGCAGCTTTCTAGCATTAATGTATTGGTTTAGCAGCCCAGGAAACTCACAGACCAATGGCATGTGCTCCAATCGTCTCATGTGACACTGCTCAGCCAATCAAATCTGTGCATTCCGATGCTTGCGAGTCGAGTCTACGAGACATTTTGGAAACACACGAATTGAGGAGACGAAAGGGAAAAGAGATTTCACATGGCTTTTAATCAAGAATGTACAGATTTTTACATGTACATTCCTCCCATGGCCAGTTCAGAACCAGAATATCTCAGATGCTGCTAGCTGGCAGGACAAACTAGAGCTCACGTTTCTCACTGAACAAGAGAAAGTAGGAAAGTGGTAGCTCTATAAGAGGGAATGAAAGAGAAGAGGAGGCATTATAACTGTTCATTTGTTATGATATGTTGAGTGTTTTATAAAATTGGTTAAGACTACACTTCATCACTTCAAGCTACACTTTTTATTTAATTTTTTCAAAAAATTAGGCACTTTATTTTAGTTTATTTAAATTTAGAATTTATTATTAGAGTAGTTATTATTTATTATCCCTCAAGTTTGATGTGTTTGAAGCAATTGCATGTCCATGGGTCCTGTGTCAGCAGTCATAAGGTTTTTCTGTTCAGAAAAAGCTGCTAAGAGACTAAAGAACTGATTTCAAAATCCTGCTGTTAGTTTATAAAGCACTAAATGGTTTAGTGCCAAAATACATTTCTGATCTTCTGCTTCGCTACGAACCATCCAGACCTCTCAGGTCGTCTGGGGGAGGTCTGCTTTCTGTCCCCAGAGTCAAATCTAAACAAGGAGAAGCAGCGTTCGGTTATTATGCTCCGTATATCTGGAACAAATTCCCAGATAACTGCAGGTCTGCTGAAACTGTTAGTTCTTTTAAATTAAGACTCAAGATGTTTCTTTTTACGATTGCTTTTAATTAAATATTTAAGATTTTTCTTTTTACCACTGCCTTTAACTAGTAGATTGATAACTTTTACTGTCCTGTTTTCTTTTTCTTTGTTTTTAGCTTTTTACCATTGCTTTTAATTAAATATTTACACGGTGAGAAATGAGTAGGTAATTGAGTGAAAACATAATGAGAGTGAGATTGAACAGAGTGAAGGAAGTGGTCTTAAATCTCATGCCTGAGTGATTTGCAGGAACCTCTGTCCACCTGTAAACGTGCAGGTGGGTCCAGAGTATAACTGGATCAAAGTGGCCTGCTGACAGACATGTCCTGGTTTCTCTGTAGTGTCTGAGGGTTTTTGGAGTTTCAGTGGACCCAAAGATTGCTATGGACCTGAGTACAGACTAGCTAGAGAGTAGATTAAGTGTACTTCTCTGTTTATTCTGTTTTCAAAATAATTGTAACTCAATTATTTGCTCAACCTGTTTTTAACTCTTTTAACCCTGATTGTACATTGCACTGTAACTTTTATTATTTTTTTAATGTGTATTTTTTCAATTTTCCTATGTTGCTTTTAAACATTTTTATATTTCCCTGTTTTATGTAAAGCACTTTGAATTACCTTGTTGTTGAAATGTGCTATACAAATAAACTTGCCTTGCCTAAGACTCTATAGGTCATGCTAAATGTGGAATTTGTATATCACTCTCTTAATTAGATTGCATTAGCATTGCGGACAGGTTAAAGAAACAAATCCTGTAAAAGGTATGGATTAAGAGGGTATCTCAGGTTGTCCAAATTAACCATGAATGTCTTTGAGTGAACATCTTTTTGAGAGTAGTTTATGAATTCCTCATATGTGTAAAACACTACTTGGCAATAAAGCTCCTTCTGATTCTGATGTTAATGAGTTTGCACCTTGTCAGCACAGGCTTTAGTTGGAGAGCAGAAGTGTATAATATGAGGTGCCCCTTGTCACACTCTTCCTGTCTGCCATGCTGTGTTTTGCACTTTTGTGTTCAGTTAGCGTTATTTTGGTCTGTTGGGTTTTGGGGGTCTGTCTTGTCTGTCGTCTAGTGTTCGGTAACCCTTGTCATGTCTGTTACCCCAGTGATCCCTCTGCATGTCTGTCTCTGTTTTCTGAACACCTGCTCTCTCTCTCCCTGCCTGTGCCTCGTTAGCCTCATGTCTTTCACCTGTGTTGCACCCGCCCTGCTCGTTAGTCCCTGTGTGTATATATACCTGGTGTTTCTGTCTTGTTTTTGACGGGTCATTGTATGTTGTCACCCTGTGTAGCAGTGTGTTTCTTGTGTTGTCAGCCTCACTTGTCGTGTTTCCCTGCTCGTTATTGGATTTTGTATGTTGGAGTTCTGTTGGACAACCTTTGTTTTTGGACTCAGTCACTCAGTTTGTAAGTGTGCTCGCCTTTGTTGAATTAAACTATTGAACTGTACCTGCACCTCTCTACGTGTCCTGCATTTGGGTCCTCCGACCTACCACCTGCTTCAGCACACACGAACCGTGACACCCCTATGGACATTATTAAGAATTACCATGCATGTACTGTTCCCCTCACATACACATATGAAACCATTCACATACTATACTGAAAAGCTCACACACATACAAGTCAACTGAAACACGGTTGGTCCCAGCCAATGATCCCAGCTTGCTCTTCAGGTAAGTTAACATTAAAGCTATACAACAAAACGTTAAATAATGATTTATTTGTTATTGCCATTATACATATGGTTTAAAATGCCTTAATGGTTTTAAGTATATACTGTAATTGTGGTTTGCAATACCACAATTGTCTACATGAAATGAGCTAGTGTTGCCGTGAATCAGCTTTAAACTAAGTTCTGTTAAATGTCTAACAAGCTATTTGAAGCAAATCAATCAAACCTGAATTCAGATTTTCACATAACTTTAGTTATGAGTCATTAATTTGGATGTCACTTGATTATAACATTTCTTTTAATAAGTCAATGGCAAGCTAATGTTAAATATGGTGTCTACTTTAATTGATTTGATTCTGACTAATGCTCCTCACAAATTCTTATCTATTGTCTAATGACATAAGTGACCATTGTGTTGTGGCTGCCATCAGGAACACTTAAGTCCCTGACTTAAAATCACATGTCATTTGTAAGAGGAATCTTAATGAACAGGTGTTTTATCATGATTTGTTTTATTTTAATTGGAGTAGAATAGGGTTTATCCCTGATGTGGAGACAGCTTGGACATTCTTTAATGAGGGTTTTACACAAATCATAAATACACATGCCCCTTTCAGGAGATACAGAGTAAAGGGGTGTGATAACCCCTGGTTTTCCCCAGAGCTAGCAAAAATTATTCATGAGCCTAACTTAGCTTGGGCCAAAGCAAGGACAACAGGTTCTACATCCGATTAGCTTGCATTTAGGCAGCTAAGAAACAAATGCTCCTCTTATTAATACAGCAAAATCTGAATAATACTTGTCTATCACCACTAAAAATTTTAATGACCACAGAAGATTTTGGAAAACTATAAAATCCCTTTCTGTAAGAAAAAATTCACAAGTAGTACCCACCTTTGTTATGAAGGACTCAGGTGCTATTCATGACAAAATGGAGATCTTGAATAGTTTTAATGAGCTTTTCATATCTTCAGGTTCTCTGTTTGATTCTGCAACTGTGAATCCCTGTATGACAAGCCAGGATATATTGATCAGTCTTAATTTCGTACCATTTTCGGTGAAGGAAGTTCAAGCCCTAAAATTCTTGGATTTTAGAAAAACCTCAGGACCTGACCTTATTGATCCATATTTCTTGAAATTGGCAGCCGATTTTGTAGCTGTGCCTCTTCCATATCTTTTTAACCTTACAGTGGAAAATAAGGAAATTCCAAGGATATGGAAATCAGCTTTTGTTCTCCCTGTATTAAAAGGGGGTGACCTAGCTGTTTTAAATAATTACAGTATCTAATTTATCAGTACTAGCTAAAATTCTTGAAGGTCTTGTGAGTGATCAATTAA